ACGTGGATTTTTAAGATTTTTCGATTGGAATATTTTTAAAAGTTTTCCAAATTTGTCGAAAAGTTGAATTCTGGAATTGAAAGGATCGCTTACGGCTATTTCGTCATCAAGGTTTGTCGCAACGTCCCATGGAAATTTAAATTCTCCAGGTTCGTTTCCTAATTTTCCGAAAGAGTCGAGAAATAATCCGTTGGGAGAAAATATTTGTACTCTATGATTATTTTTATCTGCTACTATTATTCTAAGATTCCTGTCGGTCGCTATACCGGAAGGACAGGAAAATTCTCCGTTTTCGAAACCCGTTTTACCGAAATTAAACATGAATTCACCAGATTCGCTAAATATTTGTATTCTATCGTTGGATCTATCCGCTACCAAAATTTGTCCGATACCGTTCACGCACACACCCCAAGGTCTACAAAATTCTCCGTCGTTTTGACCTTTTGACCCGATGATAAATTTCGGATTTATTTTTTCATTTATTTCGTAGTTTTTTTCATTTTCCGTTTTAATAAAACTATAAACTTTTATATCTTTTAACTGATTTTGATAACCGTTAAGAAATTTTCGTTGAATGCTTTCTTCTTCTTCCACGTCTTCTTCTTCTTCTTCTTGGGAAAACCAAGAAAATTTAAGATTTTCCAACCATTTGAGTCCATCGTTACAAATATTTTTATTTATTTCCAATTTAGAAATCGTCAAATTTTTCATATCGTTAAATTTTCTCATTAAAATTTTTTCCTCGTCTAAAATCTTTTGAATTTTATCGTTTGTATTTTTTCTGATTTCTTTCTCGATTCCATCGCAGGTTTCTTCGTACCTTTTTCGAGTTTCCTCGATGGTATCGATCAAATGACGAAAATATTTAATTTTTTCCATTTTAAAATATTCAAATAAATAACTTTGTACCGTTGGTGTATCGGTAACGACGTCTAATAAAGTATCCAAAAATTGCGATGCTTTAACTCTTTCGTTTATTTCCTCTATGGAATGCCTACGGAAGAGTATCAAAGTAGTGGTATAAGAACATTCTAGAAAAAACACCAAATAATAATAATAATAATAAAACGTTACTTACAAATCAATGGGTATTCCCATAGTGTGAAATCACTTTTAACAGAGCAACAGCACAAACAACAGCGAGTACATTAATAGAGATTAAAACGAGTTTTGAGTTTTTTATATACTACCCCAATAATAACAAAAGGGATGTTTTCGAATGAGAGAGAGGAGGGGAGGAGGGGGTAAAACGATTTAAACTTATTGTAAAAACAAGTAAAAAAATATGAATGAAAGGGTGTGTGAATGGTAGTAAAATAAATGGAGTGGTGGGGGAAATTTCATTCATGATTTTAACTTTTGGGTAAGAAGGAGGGGAGAGGAGGGGTGGGTAAATTTTCCTCTTTTATTATTATATACAAATACAAAGGAATGAATTTGCACAAATTTCTGATTGTAAATTATTATATCTGTATAATTTTTTTTTTTTTTTTGGTTATTACATATGTTTTGCTTATTTTAAAATTACAGCAGTAGACAAAACCATTAAAATAATTACCGCCATAAATTTTTGAAAAGTAAAAAAATTTATTAGTGGCGTCATAAAACCGTTATTTAACCGAGCAGAATTCGTTTAAAAGAAAATTTTATATTTTCTCCATATATTAGAAAGTTTTATTTATTCGTCAAATATTTTTCTTTTTTTTTTTTTTATCTACCTTTCCAGTTTAATTTTTTTTTTTTTTTTTTTTACTGGAAAAAAAAAAAAGCGGGGGCGAGGGAGAGAAAAGGAGGGAAAATTTAATTTACAACCGAGGTCTAACCTCGAGTCTTGGTTTCGTAATCTTATTTAAATTAATCAGATATTTCTCGTGCCACGTTGTTATTGTTATTGTTATTATTTTTATTTTTTTTTTATCTTTTTTTTTTCTTTTTTTTTCCTACGGAGAAAACGCTGATATTTAAAATTGAAATTTAAATCCTTTGGAAAAAAAATTTAATTATACGGATTTTATTATTTTCCCTTAAAAAAAAAACAATTTTTTTTTTTTTTAAATTAAAAACAAAAGATTTAATTTTTAATAGAGTAAAAAAAAAAAAAAATTTTAAACGTAAAATTAAATTTATTATTATTATTATTATTATTGTTGTTGTTGTTGTTATACGTAATCACGTCATCAATTAAAACATAAAAGTAATTAAATTATTAAAAACAAACGGAAACGTAATTTTTTTTTTTTTGCAAAGCGATTACGTATAACACGAAGAGGGGAAAAAAAAAACCTTTTTCATCCTTTCTTTTATTATTATGAAACCCCGCCCCCCAAAAAGGAAAAACATTTTTTTATAAAGTTGTTTTACTTTCTCTCTCTCTCTCTCTCTTTTTTTTATTAATAACAATTTTTTTTTATTTAAATAAAATAAACATTAATTGAGGCTTATTCCAAAAAAAAAAATTTTCCAGGAACAACTTGGTCAAAAAATAACCCCAAACGTTATGTATTTATTTTATCGATCGATCGATGGACTTAATAACTTTTAACGAACTTTAATAAATTATTAATAATAATAATAATAATAATTTTTTTATTTATTTTTCACGCCGAATATTAAAAAAACGAAGTCTTCAAATTTTTTTTTTTTTTGCCCCTAGTTCGCGTTTATTTGTTTTTCCAAAAACAAAATTTCACTTATTTTATTATCATTATCATTATTATCATTAAAATTTTTCATAGGAAATGTGTGGTTTAATAAAGAAAAAAAATTAGTCGAAAGTTAATAGTATTAATAATTTTTTTTTCGTAAATAAAGTTTACAAATCAATAAAAATTATTTTTCGTAATTAAATTTTCGAAATTGTTTTTTAAATATTTTATTAGTACAAAAAGAGAATAAGATTTATTATCGATTTTTATTACGTCATAATTATTACGTATTAATTTATTGCCGATGTTCGAAAAGATGGAAACAATTTTTATATAAATGTACTTAAGGGGAAAAAGGAAAAGGAAAAAAAAAGTTCTTTAATTTTTTTTTTTTTTTTTTTTTTTACTGTAAAGAAGTATAAAAATAATTTGTTCTCTCTCTCTTTCTCTTTTTTTTTATTTTCATCTTATTTTCATATCATTATTATTATTATAAAAAAAAAATTTAATTGAACTCAATTGCGAATATTAATGAGAAAAAAAAATGAAGAAGAAGAAGTAAGTTGAAAAATAAAAACAAAATGTATCAAACTAATCAAACTCAATTTCATTGAAAAACATTCTCTCCCCTCCCCCTCCCCCATTTTCTTTTTATTTAATTTTTTTCTTTACTTTTCTTTTCTTTATTTGAATTATAGAAAAAAAGGTAAAACGAAAAAATGAAAAAGAGAGAGAGAGGGAGAGAGAGATGGGGGAAAGGGTATAAAATAATATCATCTTGTATAATTTTTATTCTTCTTCCTACGCTTTTTTTTTATTATTATTATTATTATGCGAAATTAACAATGAAAAAAAAAGAAATTATTGCTGTTCTTTTTATTATTATTATTATTATTATTAGAAAAAATTGTTATCATCACTGATAAAGATGTTTATCAGAGATTTTTGTCAAAAATTTGTTTTATTTAATTTTGAAAGTAATTATCATTTTTATTAAATAAAATTATACATAAATATTTCTATTTCAAATTTTGATATAAAAGAAAAATCCAAGTAAATGTCAATAAAAAAATGAAATGAAGCAAAAAGAGAGAGAGAGAGAGAAAGAGAGGAAATAAGACAAAAAAAAACATTTTTTTTTTTCCTTGTTCCTCCTCCTTTTTATTCAAATTTGTTATGTATTCGACTTGACAATATTTTCTTTTCATTTTAAAATTTGTTTTGACGTTAAAAAAAAAAAAAAAAAAAAGAAAAATTCTTCATCAATCAAAATAAAAAAAAGGAAAGAATTTTTTTTTTTTTGTTGTATACCTGATTTCATACGAAAAAATAAAAATGGTACCAAAAAAGAAAAAAACTAAGAGAAAAGGTTAATTGTTATTTTAATACAAATAAATTTTGGCGCCAAATTATTTTACGTGTAAATAACTTGATTGAAATGCGTTTGTTTACTTTTTGCGTATACGGTTGACGTAATAAAGGGTTTTGTAAGATGAAAAGTCATAGAATAAATAAAAACATTCATTTATTTATTCGAAAAAGAAGAATTTTAAGCTAAAATAATAATAATAATTAATTTGGAAAATTACGTATCGAAATGTTTAAATTCTTTTCTTTTCTTTTTTTGTCGGGTAATAAATTTTTTTTTTGGTCGTAGGAATTATTCGGACGTAGGAGAAATTTTTTCAATATGGCGCCGAGTCGTTAATGAACTTATTAATGTTCCATATTTTGTTTAACGTTCGGTGTCATTTTCACGTTCGCACAAATTGTTATATCCTCGTTTTAAAATTTATTTTTAAAAAGAATGCATAACATTATTATTATTATCGTACGTTTATCGTCGTCTGCTAGATAATTTTAGCTGTACTGAATGGTAAGAAAAGATGCTGTGGAAATTAATTATTAGTTGTTGATGTTTGATGATGCCTCTTACAAATTTCAGGTTCTGAGGTTTGCGTTATTTTCAACCTTTTTTTTTTTTTTTACAATACGTGAGAAAATCCAAAATTATGCGGTTTAACGTGGATGCAGATAATACGATGAAAATTATCATTAGGATTATAATTCATGTTGTGGTTAACATTTGGTTTTTTTTTGGTTTGTTTGTGGTTGTTTTATAAAACTTGTTTTAAATTCCAACAGAAATAATTCTTTCCTCAGGGGGTCAAAAGGGAAGGGGGGGAAAGGAAAAAAAGAAATTGTCAATTTTGTAAATCTTGAAAATCTTTTATTCTGACTTGAAAAAAAAAATTTGTTCTTTTATTTCCTGTTTCTTTCAATTTTATTTTAAACATATTCAGTTTGTTGCATCAGTTTTCCTTTTAGAAAAGGTAACTTTTTCTTTTATTTTCCTCAACCCAAAGGTTTATCTGCGGGGATAATTTTTATTGAATCGACTAAAAAGTTACAATTAAAGTGCTAAATACTAAAAGTTTAAATTTTTTCAAATTTAACCGACATGTTGTTTTGATTTATATTTTTTTTTAAGAAAATCTTTATGATATGAGATATCAGATATGGATCAGACATTGTTAAACATCCAAACAATACTTTTAAATTCATTAGTTTCTTGTTTTCTTGTTTAAACAAATGTTTGTCTAGTACTTTTGCCATTTTGTTTTTTTTTTTTTTTGGGGGGGGGGGGCGGGGATTTCTTATTAATTAAAACATACAATGAATGTGATTCTTATAATACTCCCCAAAAAAGAAAAACTTTTTTTAAATTTTCTCACTAACTTAAAATAATGAGGAAAAAAAAGGAAAAAACATTTTTTTTTTCTTAATAATAAATATGAAAACATTAAAAACACGTGTTTTTCATTTTTTAACACATAAAATCCAAATGTTACAATAAAATTTTACCTGGGATAAAAAATAAAATCCTGTTAAATTTATGTTTTCTTGACTTTTTTTAACGCTTTAAGACTCGAAAAAAAAATCGATTAATCGATCGATCGATGGATCGAACGCGTTTATTTTTTTAAATAATTCGTAGAATATTATCAATGTTGTCTTTTTTTTTTTTTTTTTTACTCATGAGTACCTTTGAGTTTTTATAAACTTTTGGTATTTATATACAAATCCAATTCTGCCAATATTAAAAAAAAAAAAAAACTGTCATTGTCACGATATAAACTTGATTTTCAAAAAAAAAAAAAAAATTGATTGATTGATGTTGACGAAAATCAAATCGAAAAAAAAGGAAAATTTATTTATTTATTTTATTTTTTTTACATGTTTTTGAACACGCGAATTGAAATAGTTTTTAATAAATAAATTGAAAAAAAGTTTAAAATTAAAAACTAATAAGTTAAAAAATAATTTTTTTTACAAATCTTATCAAAAATCCCTCTTATAGAATGATAACAAATTATTTTATTAATAAAAAAAGTTCAAAAAAAAACTATTGAAATTGTGTAAAGTTTAAATTTTCTTTTTACGACGTACGCTTTCGTTTCCGCTTTTAAAAATGGCGGAATTGTATAAAAATCAAAAATGGCGGAATGAATTAAAAGAAAAATAGATCGGGATATCAATGAATTTATAATAACAGGTACGAAGGATTAAAAATAAAAGGGGGGGGGAATAAAAAAAGGTTACAACATTCTTACAACCATTTTTTTGTTTTTCATTCATAAAAATTTTTTTTTGTTGTTGTACGATTCGTAGAAAACAATCAAACAAACAAATAAACAAACAACAAAGGAAAAATTTTTTTTCTCTTTAATTCAGGTAATAAAATCCCGCGAAATAATAATAAAAATAATTTTTATATACGTAAAAAAAAAAAAAATTTATTTTGACCTTTTCTTACAATTATTATTATTATTATTATTTTCATTCATCATTCATTCATTCATTCATTATTATTATTAAATCACAAAAAAGGGATACTATAAAAAAAAATGAAAATGAAAAGAAAAAGAGTGAAATAATTTTTTTTTATTACACTTTAAACAACAAATGAAAATATTATTAACGTAAAAAAAAAAAATATTCATTCAAGAAAATGCAACAAACGACAAAATATTTTAATAATAATAATGATGATAATAATAATAATAATAATAATTTTTTTTTACAGTTGCGAATCATTAGCATCCATAGAAACATATTCGGAATGTGATTACAACATAAAAAAAACAAGAGGAGATATTGATAAATCATCATCGTCGGAAAATCGTCGTGGCAACAGCAACATCGTAACGGACTACGTGAATTCGTTGAAAAAAAGACAAAGAGACATACCATACGATAATAATAATAAATACGATATAAAAAATAAAAAAAAAATTTTTTTAAATAACAACAAAGATTTTTCCGAGAGTAGGAGACACGGAGATAAGGGTCCTATTAAAATAAATATTGATAAGTTAATTAATTTTCCTAACATATTTTTCGAAATGATATCTCTCGATAATGGTAAACCTTTGTTCGAAAATGATAATAATAATGTTAACCATAATAATAATAATTCTCATTCAATGGAAAATTTAATTTTTTAATTATATATACATATATATATATATATAAAAGTGGAAATCGCTTTTATTTATTTTTATCTTCCGTATTTTCTTTTTTTTAACTTTTCTCTCTCTCTCTTCTTCTTCTTCTCTCTCCTCTCTCTCCCTCTCTGTCTCTCTTTTTATTTACTCTTATTTCGCTTTGTTTATTTGTTTTTTTCCGTTAAAAAGTTTTTTAAAAAAAAGTTACTATAGACGGCGTAAAAAAACAAAGTATTAAAAAGAATGAAAAAAAAGCATAGATAAAATAAAACTTCATAATTTTATTCAAAACGTGTGTACTCTATGGTTATTATTTTTATTTTGTCTTTTATTCCCTAAACAAACTCTCTCTCGTAAATAAAATTTCCTTTTTTTTTTTTTTTTTCTTTCATTAAAATTTTTTTTTTTTAAAAAAGATTTTCTAATAAAAAAAATAAAAAAATGGAAGCAGAAAATCAAAGAACGAAAAAAAAAAAGAAAAATTATATTTTAAACTTATAATTATTATTCGTTTGACTTTAATAATGATTATGATTATGATAAAACTTGAAAAAGATAAAATATAGAGAAAAAGAAAAATTGATTATCTCTATGATTTTTACCTTTGCGATCATAGAGTATATAATTATAATATTATTTTTTTTATTGATTCCCTGATGAAAAGAAAAAAAATACAAATAACGGTTTTTTTTTTTTTTTTAAAAAATCTTTTCGACATCATTAACATAATTTAAAAAAAAAAATTAAAATTTGATTACGTCATAAAATTATATATATTTCTTTTTCAACCCTTATTAACATAAAAAGACATAGAGAGAGAGAGAGAAGGAAGCATTAAAAAAAAATCACGAAATAATAATGATAACAATTTTTTTTTTTAAACGATCGGAAAAGAAATAAAAATTACATAACGATTTTTTAAAATTTTATTTTATCGATTCTAATGACACGATTTTTTTTTTCTTTTACTTTTTACCTTTACTGTAGTAGTAATTACATACTGGAAAATTTTTTTAGTCATTTTATCACACGGTAAAGTGTGATTGATTGATTGATTGATTAATACATTAATTAAAAAACTTTTATTTATAAAATTTTAAATTTTACTTTAATTTAACTAAAAAGTTTTAAATAGGAAACGAAATAAAATATCATAGAGATAGAAAAAGAGAGATAGAGAGAGAGAGAGAGAGAGAGAGGAAAAGGAAAAGGAAAAAAAAATTCTAGTATTGTCGAATACTTATATTAATAAGCATATATTTATAATAACATTATCATCAAATATGTTATCCTTTAATCAAATGGAAGGAGAGGAGGCGAGGGGGTGCGGGGGTGAACAACACATCACCTTTGATTAGGTTTTATAGGTATCGACATAGAATTCAAACGAAATTCCAAGGGTATATCTTGTTCTTGTAATATTTTATTTGAAAAAAAAATTCTTTTTAACCTGCAACTTGCGTATATTTGTATTCTCAACGTTTGAACGTGATTCGTTCCGAAGCAGCGCATTGTAAAATCTTGTAACGGAAAATTTATTTGATTCCAACCTTCTTCCAACGTCAGCGGAAGTTTAGTATAAAAAGGTTTTACTTCCGTTACGTTTTGATGCGTCGAAGCTCTAAACCTTCTTTTAACTCCTTTATCGTCTAATATTTGAACGTCGAAAGCGAAATATTTATTTAAATTTTTAACAGTCATGTTTAATATTGGATTTTTTATTTTCAATACTTGATTCGGATCTGCAGGACACATTATGTACGTGGCCGCCATTTTGGGAGCATTTATTTCCAATACTTGAGAACACAATTCGTCGTCTCTTAATTTTTTTATCGTACCGTTTCTTATTTTTTTTTCCCATTTTGCCAATGAATGTTTATTTACGCTGTGGAAAATGCATGTAAAACCAGGTGACATGTAAAAATCTGTCATTTTTTTCTTTCTTTTTTTTATTTACCCCCGTTTAATTTTTATTTTATTTTTTTTTATTTTACTTTTTTTTTTTTGTTAATTTTTTCCAAATTTTGCCAAATTTTTTTTTCTTTTTTTTTTTTTTTTTTAATATTTTAATACTTAATAATTTTGTTTTAATACATATTTATTAAATTTATTTGTTTACATTTTAAAAAGAAGAAGAAAAAAAAAAATTAAATGTTATTTCAAAAAGCCTTTTCGAACGGGAAATTTTTTTTTTTTTGTCTACGCGGCCTCCGTGATTTTTTGGCGGTGAATTTTTTTTTGCCGCCAAATTGTTTTGATTTTATTTTTTAATTAATAAAAAAAATTTTTTAAATAAATAAATAAATAATTTATTAATAATTAATACACACGCACGCACGCATAATATTTTTTATTAATAGAAAGAAAAAAAAATTGTCATAGAGTAAATAAACTCACATACCGTATTAATTTCCTCGGAAATACATTAATTATTTATTCAAATATTCATTAAGGCATGCAAAAAAAAACTTATTAAAATAATAATAATAATTTTAGTTAATGAAACAGCTATAAACTCCGACAAAGGGTTTAAGAGTCACTTAAAAAAAAAAAAAAAATTTACAATTAACAAACAAACAAACTGCAACATTTTATAATTTTTCAAAAAGTTTAATAATAAATAAAAAGGAATCCATTTAATAAACGTTTATTTAATTAATTAAAAATATTTACATAATTTTTAATAATAACCAAATAATACATTTAAAAAAAAAGGGGGGGAAGAGGAAAACCCTTGAAATTCTCTTGTTCCACGTTTAAAAATAAATTATTATTGTTTACATTTTTTTTTTTTTAATAATTTTAACCTTTCAACGATGTAATTAATAACGTACATACCCAAAATAATAATAATAATAATAATAATAAAATAATAAAAAAAAAATGAAGTAAATCGAGAAAAAATTTTTGCAGCAGAAAAATTATCGTGATAAAAAAAAAAAAAAAATAAGGTACGCTTATTAAGAAAAAAAAAAATGATTACACTCGGATCAATAATAAATGATAAAATGATTAATGATAAAAATAAATAAATAAATAAATAAATTATTAAAACATCGGAGAAAAAGGCAAAAAAGAAAAAAAAGGGGGAAAAAATGTTTTCGAAAGTTTATCAACCAGGTTTGATATGCATATTCGATGCGGATAATGAAAAACCGTTAAAAATATGGGAAAAAAAAATTCAAGATGGTTCTGTTAAAAGAATATTATCGGATGAAATAAGAGGTTTAGTTTTGGAAATATCAAGTAAAATGCCAATGTCGAATTACATATATTGTCCATCGAACATAAAACAATCATTGAACATATACTATCCTTATTTGCATTTGACCGTTAAACTATCATATTCGTCCATATTTGCTTTCGACGTTCTCATCATAGACGATGAAAATGTTAAAAGAAGATTTAGAATATCAACGATACAAACGTTTGTCGACATACAACCCTTTATGTGTAAACTACCCCTGTCTCTCGAATCAGGATGGAACGAAATAACGGTACCATTGCATCACTACGTTAAAAGCATTTACGGTACGAATTATAGTAAAACCCAAAGAGTCGCCATTTATTCGAATTGTTTTTTGAAAAAAATTTATTTTTCCGACAAAGAATATTCGGATGAAGATATACCTTTGGAATTTCACATAGAAGACATTGATTTTCAAGAAAATTATCAAAATAAATTATCCGGAGTTTTACAAAAGAAAAAAATGTCGTTGAGTTATTATCCGGATTTGATACAGAAAAATAATAAAAATTCTTCTTTTAAAAAATTATTTATTTAACACATATTATTTACTTAATATATTTTTTTATTTCCGATTACGTTTTATTATTATTATTATTATTATTATTATTATTATTATTATTATTATTATTATTATTATTATTATTATTATTATCATTATCATTATTATCAATACGATTTCTATCTGTTCGACGAGTTTTATTTATTTGTTAAAATTTCTCTTATCTTCTAAATAATTAATGTTTGCTTGAATATCAATGGCGGTGGTGGTAGTGGTGGTGTGTGGGGATGTAAATTTTCCATTTATAAAATTTTTCAAAGAACGTTAAACGTCAAATTTTCCAACACGAAAACGTTCTTTTCATTTCCTTTCCTTACCACGATTTATTTTTCATTTAAAAAATTATTTTCCGACACGACGTGTCTTTCAATGAGTTTTCCAATCGGAAAAGTATTTTACGTTGCTTCCATGTTATTATTATTATTACTATAAATTTAAAAAATTAATCGAGTACTTAAAATCCGCCATTTTTTTTTTTTAAATATCAATTAGTTAAGCATGTTCGCAAATTGTTTTTTATCCATTCTGTTAAATTTATTATTATTATTATCGTCGTTACGTGTCATTCACCTCTTTTATCATTATCTTTTCTCCCTTAAACATTTTTTTTTTATTTTAATATTGTCTTTTATATACTCTTATCAATTTTTTATCATTTTTTTTTAGGAGTTCATATCGAACCGTTTAACGCCGCCATATTTTTAATAATAAAAAAAAAAAAATTTTCCTTTCCTTTACTTTTCCGACACGTTTGACTGATTTTTAATGTAAAATAGTATTATTATTAAAATTTTTTTTTTTTATAAAAGAGTAACAACCGAACAAACAAACGAAAAAATATTTTACGTAAAAATTTAAAATTTGAAAATAATATTTTTAACATGTAAAAAAAAAAAAACTCTTTGTGTTTTATATTTAATTATTTATTTCAAAAACATTATTATTATTATTATCATTATCATCATTTTTTTCGACGTGAAATTTTATATATTTATATTTATTTATTTATTAAAAAAAAAAAAAAGAGAGAGAGAGAGAAAGAGACAGAGAGAAAGGAGACGGTTAGAAAAATAAATTCGCTTAAAAATTTTGTTTGTTCTTTGTTATTATTATTATTATTATTACAAAAAAAATTTTTAAAGGTTACAATCAACGATGAGGATAACAACAACAACCACAACAACAAAGACAAAAACATTTTAAAAACGCCAACGTTTAACTTATAATAAAACATCAAACAAGATTTCGCGAAAATTTTTTTTTTCACGTAAGCTAAACATAATAAAAAAATTTTAAAAAAAATAAACTAAACCGGAAATAATCGTTACGATTATTTATTATTTTTTTCCGTTTCCTTCCTTCCCTCCCCTCCCCTCCCCTTCCCCTATCCCCCTTCCACCCCTTCCCCTTTGTCCCCCACCGACGAACGAACAAAACCCCCCCAAAACTATAAGCTTAAAATTTTCCTGTCGGATAAAGAGAAAAAAAAAAAAAAAGAAAATGGGGGAAAATTTATCAAATTGACGGTTAAAAACCTCTTTCGGTCAAATTATCGGTTTTAATAAAATTTTCCTTTTAAAAATTGTTATCAGTTATCAATATGGACGTTGTGACGTGATTATATAACGTCACGTGACATCGGTTACGTCAGCGACAATTAAGAAAAAAAAATTAATAATAATGCAACGTGTAAGTGATGAAAAGTTTTGAGAAAATTTTAAACGACGGCTGGAAAAAATTTATCGGGAAAATTTTTTTTTTTTTAAACTAAATCAAATTATTAACTTTTTTTCAATATCGGCAATAAAATATTTTTTTGAAAAATCGAATCGAAAGAAATAATTCTGGACAAAAAATATTAATAATAATAATAATAATAAAAAAACGTCGATAATTTTTTCTTTTTTTTATGGAATTTGTCGCCGACGCCATTTTTCTTTTTATTTCTCGTTTCTGTTACTGTTTTAAAATCAATTTTGAAAAAAAAAAAAAGTCGATAATAAACTAATAAACTCCAGATTTTTTCCAAAAAAAAAAAAAAAAAAAGAAAAAATGTAACCGTTGGAGAAAAGTAAAAAATAAAATAAAACAGAGAATTTTCTAGAAAGAAAGAAAGAAAAAAGAAAATTTTTTCTTTTTAAAATTGCCAATTTTTTTTTTTCTTTTCTTTTGACATGTTTTCTTTTTTTTTTTTTTTACCTGGAATCAAACTGTCAAAATCTCCAGGTTTGTTTTTTTTTTTTTTTTAATTTATATATAAACAATTTTTTTATCTTCTGCTTTAGTTTTTTTTTCTTTAAGATGAGAGAGAAAAACTTTTTTTTTTCTTTCTTCTTTGTTTGTTTGTTATTTAAAAACTTTTTTAATTATATATATATTTGAACTTTTTTAAGCTTCAAACGTTTTTCACATCAAATTTATATTTATGACCTGTTATCTATTTCTTATCAGTACTTCATCTTCTTCTTTCTTTCTTCGTGCAATACACGTGCACGTGAAATTTTTTTCCCAAATATTTTCCCAATCATTTTCCCAACAAATTTAAAAAAACCGGGAAAAAAATGTTTTGCTTTCTAAATAACAAAAAATATTTTAATAAAAGCTCAATCGAAAAACAAACAAACAAACAAACGCAAACAACCCGAAAATGAGAGAGAGAGAGAGAGAGAGAGAGAGAGAGTAGAATAAATATAAACAAAACCCGATTAATATTAAAAAACCCGAATAATATTTTTTTAAAAAGCCCGCGAAAATTAGAAATTTTAAATTTATATTACTTAAAATTAGGGGAGGATTTTTTAAAATTGTGTTGATTGATTTGTTTCAAAACATTTTTCGCGAATCGGGAAACCCTTTTATCGCGTAAAATGACGTCACGTTAAAAATTGATTAAAAATATATTTAAAAAAACAAATTTTTTCGTTACGTAATAATTTTTTGTTTTTTTTTTTAATATTTTGTTAATAATTAATTAATTAATTAATGACGTAATAAATTTGTTTCTTTATTTATTATTATCGTTACGTAAATATTTAGATAACAATTTATTTAATAAGACACTGGAAAAAGGTAAAAAGATAAAAAAGAAAAAAAAAGGGTAAATAATTTTTATTTTTTTTTAATTACGCGGGCGCGTGGCGTGCGTGAAAACGTGCGTAAAATTTATTATTATTATTATTATATTTTTTTGTCGGTATCGTTTTAAAAAAAAATTTTCACCTGAAAAAAAAAATTATTTATTAAAGTTAAAGAACTGTAATTATTTTTTTCTTTTTTAACTTTTTTCCTTTTCTCAAATTTCAAGTTATGACCTATAAAAAAAAAAAAATTTTTTTTCTTTTTCCCCATTTTAATGATTTTCATTTTTTTTTTCAGGTACGTTTTTGTTTTTTAAAGGAAAGTAAAAAAAGGATTTTATTTCAAAGGTTTTAAAAATAAAAGTATAGGAAAAAAGGAAAAAATAAAGAAAAAAAAAAAGGAGAAAAATTTTTTTATATTTTATGCAGTCAAAAAAAAAGTAATTTAAAACGAGTTGTTTAAAAAAAAAAACTTTTGGTGTTTAATTAACAAACAAACAAACAAACAAACAAGCAAACAAGCAACAACTTTAATATCTTTATCGTGTCATCATCATCATTATTATTTTATTTATTTTTTGTTAAAACATCCTCCTCGTGATTAATTTTTTATTATTATTATTAAATCGATGAAATCAATATCCGTGACGTAATTAATTATTTTAATAATAATAATAATAATAATAATAATAAATACGAGTTTACGAAAATAAAAATGGAAGGAAAAAAGGTAAGCGAGAAAAATTTCATACAAACAAATAATTTTTAACTTTTTTGTATTTTCGTTAATTAAAAACGTTTCGTAATAATTAATTTACGAAAAAATAAAAAGGGAGGGAGGAAGGGGGGGGTAAGTTAGGTTGGCAACACTTTTTATTATTAATACTATGCTTTAACTTTAATAATAATTTTTTATTTGATCGGAAAATATTATTATTATTATTATTATTATTATTATTTTTTAGTACACAAAAAAAAGCACAAAAACTTTTTAGATTTTTTTATTAATTTTTGTCCCGGTATAAAAAAAAAAAAGTGTAAATCACGTGTTTAAATGATAATGATAATAATTTTTTTTTTTTTTAAAAAAAGTTTAAATTTTAATTAAAAAACTTATAATAATAATAATAATAATGATAATTTTTAATTTACGTCCGCACGCGCCCCCCCCCCTTCGATTATTTTTTTAACTTGTAATTTTTTAATAAATTTTTTTTTTTTTTAATATTTTTCGGCGGTCGAAAATCATTTTCTCTCTCTCACCCTCTCTCTCTCTGTTGTAGAATAATAATAATAATAATAAAAATTTAGTTCGCGGATTAAAATCCACCGACAGCATTTTAAACAAACTAATAAAACTTTTTATTGACTTTAAAAGTTTAAATAATAAATTTACGTTTATTTTACTTAAAATGGTTGGGAAGAAAAGAAAAAGAGAGAGTGAGAGTGAGTGAAAGAGAGAGAGAGAGGGGGGGGGGAAAATTAAAATTTAAACAACAATCTGTTGATTTATGTAAATTATTATATAAAAAAAAAAATTTCCATTTATATTAATAATAATAATAATAAATTAATTTTTAAATAAAAGGAAAACCACAATCGCGGAGGCAATTATTATTATTATTATTACAACCACCATTACAATTTAGTTATTGATGTCATTTAATAATGTCGTCGAGTAAACGTAAACAAAATCCGTATGTTAAATTTTATTTTTCATAATCAAATAATAATCATTATTATTAATTATTAATAATTAATTAATTTAACGTTACAGGTAATAAATAAAAAAAAATGAAAAATAAATAAATAAATAATTTTTTTTTTTTTTTTTTTTTTAAATGGAGAAGAAATAATAATGAGCAGAGGTGATAAAAATGAAAAACCACGTTTAATTTTATTACAATCGTATAACAACACACCGCTCCAGCACTGGAATAAAAGGATAAGATCTGGAAGAGTGTCACAAATAATCGATCAAGATTTACAAAGTCCCGTATTGGAAATCACGAGTTGGAAATCATCTCAAACGTACATAACGAGTCCGGCGGATCCTAAGAAAACTCTCGGAATAAAAGCTCCATATTTACATTTGAGAGTTAAAAACCTGTTGAAAAATTTCCTTTTTAACGTTTTGGTTTTGGACGATCGTAACGTTAAAAGGAGGTTCAAAGCTTCGACGAAAGTCAAAACGGCTTTATCGAAACCGTACCTGTGTAAGGTACCATTGACTTTGGATTCAGGTTGGAACGAAATAACGATTCCACTCATGGAATTCACTAAAAAAGCTTATGGTACTAAGTTTGTCGAAGCTTTGATCGTACAAATTCATGCCAATTGCAGAATAGAAAAAATTTTTTTCACATACACCGGTCAATATGACGAGTAATTATTATTATTATTATTATTATTATTATTTGTATTTTCTTTTTTTATTATTATTATTATCTTTAATAAACGTATTATTTTCTCCTTTCTCTCTCTCTCTCTCTCTCTATCTCTTTTTAAATAACCTATAATTTCTCTTAATTACTACAAACTCATTCTTTGTTATTATTTAAACGACAACAATTTCGCCCCCCCTTGTTTTTTCAACCCCCCCACCACCACCATCATCATTATTATTCGCATCTAATCATCACCAGTAAAAAAAAAAAATGGCGAATTTAAAAAATATGTAAACGTATATTTACAAAATGCAATAATACAATAAATACTTTAATAAAAAAAAAAAAAAAACATTCACGTCGACGTTTAATAATTATTAACTCTTATTATTATTACCCGTCATTATTATTATTATTATCATTATCATTTGTGAAAATTTCCCTCCCTTCTTTACCTCCCCTTTTTCCTCTCATTCTTCCTTCCAAATTTTCATTTGAAAAAATTAAAATAAAATAAAATTCAGTTGTAAAAATTTCTTTTTTTTTTTTAATAAAATTTTGAAGAAAAAATTACTCGGGTGGTAAATGAAACCTAATAATAATAATAATAATGATAAATTTTAATATATAAAAAAAAAAATCGATCGCGAGTGATTATTTACCCGGAAGGAAGAAAAAAAAAATAAAATAAATATTTATTTTTAGACAGACACCATTTTGTATTTTATTATTACAAGAGTTTTTAAGAAAGAGGGAAAAACTAATAATAATAATAATAATAATAATAATAGTAGTCACAAATAGATAATAATTAACGTTTTTTTAAGGATCCTATTAAATATTGCGAATCTAATAAAATGTTATTTTTTTTATTAATATTATTATTATTATTATTATTATTATTATTGTATTCAGAGGGATCTTCATTGGGTATTTCATCTGTAAAATATATCCTTTGTATTCTACAATTCGGATAAACTTGTATCCTTAAAGTTTCATAATAATTTGTATTATATATTTTTTTAGTATATTCTTGTAGGGAGAAAGCGATTTGATTCCATCCTTCGGTGAGTACCAAGGGTAGTTTACACGTGAAAGGTTTCACATCGGGTTGAGATACTAGGGTTGATATTTTAAATTTTCTTCTCACGTTATTATCATCTAATATTTGTATATCGAAAGCAAAATATTTATACAAATATTTAATTGTTAATATAATGACTGGAAATTTAACGCCTAATGTTTTCTTATAATTACCCGGACACGTTAAATACGTGTTGTTTAATTTTTTACCCTTTAATTCTAAAACTAAACATTGTAATTCGTTATCCATAATCCTTCTTATGTGTCCCGATCTTATTTTTTTATCCCATATCAATAATGGTTTTTTAACACAACTGTGTAATATTGATAAAAAACCATTGTCCGATACATTTTTAAACATTTTTTTTTTTTTTTCATATATTATGTATGCTTATATATATATGTGTGTGTGTATTTTTTTTCCTTTTTTTTTTTTTTTACTTTAAAACAAAGAAAACAACAAATTTTATTATCGAAATCGAAAAAAAAAAAAAAATGTAATGAAAAGTTATTTTTTAATATTTATTTTATATGTTTTTTTTTTTTTCCCCGTTAATGGAGCGTGGTTTACAAATCAATTAAAAGCCTTCGTTATTTTTCATTTTATTGTTCTTGCATATTTTAAATGATTTCTAATGCCACGTTAAAAATATAACTCGCTTTAAATGGTATCATTATTATTTTAAATACAAAAAAAAAAAAACATTAACGATTTCGGTTTTATTTATTTTATAAAAATAAATTTTAGAGAGAATATGCAAAATCATCCCCCACCCCGAAACAAATTAAATTTACATCACGCCCCTCCCCTCCCCTCCTTCTTACCCAAAAGTTAAAATCATGAATGAAATAGTACCTTCCCCCACCACTCAACTTATTTTACTACCATTCACACACCCTTTCATTCATTTTTTTTTTTTTTACAATAAGTTTAAATCGTTTTACCCCCTCCCCTCCCCTTCCCTTTCTCTTCCAAAAACATCCCTTTTGTTATTATTGGGGTAGTATATAAAAAACTCAAAACTCGTTTTAATCTCTATTAATGTACTCGCTGTTGTTTGTGCTGTTGCTCTGTTAAAAGTGATTTCACACCATGGGAATACCCATTGATTTGTAAGTAACACTTTATTATTATTATTATTTGATGTTTTTTCTAGAATGTTCTTATACCACTACTTTGATACTCTTCCGTAGGCATTCCATAGAGGAAATAAACGAAAGAGTTAAAGCATCGCAATTTTTGGATACTTTATTAGACGTCGTTACCGATACACCAACGGTACAAAGTTATTTATTTGAATATTTTAAAATGGAAAAAATTAAATATTTTCGTCATTTGATCGATACCATCGAGGAAACTCAAAGAAGGTACGAAGAAACCTGCGATGGAATCGAGAAAGAAATCAGAAAAAATACAAACGATAAAATTCAAAAGATTTTAGACGAGGAAAAAATTTTAATGAGAAAATTTAACGATATGAAAAATTTGACGATTTCTAAATTGGAAATAAATAAAAATATTTGTAACGATGGACTCAAATGGTTGGAAAATCTTAAATTTTCTTGGTTTTCCCAAGAAGAAGAAGAAGAAGACGTGGAAGAAGAAGAAAGCATTCAACGAAAATTTCTTAACGGTTATCAAAATCAGTTAAAAGATATAAAAGTTTATAGTTTTATTAAAACGGAAAATGAAAAAAACTACGAAATAAATGAAAAAATAAATCCGAAATTTATCATCGGGTCAAAAGGTCAAAACGACGGAGAATTTTGTAGACCTTGGGGTGTGTGCGTGAACGGTATCGGACAAATTTTGGTAGCGGATAGATCCAACGATAGAATACAAATATTTAGCGAATCTGGTGAATTCATGTTTAATTTCGGTAAAACGGGTTTCGAAAACGGAGAATTTTCCTGTCCTTCCGGTATAGCGACCGACAGGAATCTTAGAATAATAGTAGCAGATAAAAATAATCATAGAGTACAAATATTTTCTCCCAACGGATTATTTCTCGACTCTTTCGGAAAATTAGGAAACGAACCTGGAGAATTTAAATTTCCATGGGACGTTGCGACAAACCTTGATGACGAAATAGCCGTAAGCGATCCTTTCAATTCCAGAATTCAACTTTTCGACAAATTTGGAAAACTTTTAAAAATATTCCAATCGAAAAACCTTAAAAATCCACGTGGACTAGCATTTTATCCTGATGGTAAATTACTCGTAACCGATTTCGACAATCATAAAATTTTACTCTTGGATTCGAATATGAATATTGTAATGAAATTTTCCAAGGAAGGACACGAAGAAGGGGAATTGTTCAGACCTCAAGGTATAGCCGTTTTCGATAACGGTTCGTTTGCTGTTTCCGATTGCAAGAATTACAGGATACAGGTACTACCAACTTATCTACCTATTTACTACAGAGACCCTCTTCCAATAACATTTCCATCAACTCATGTTTTTTGTTTATTTTCAGATATTCAACCGTAATGGAAGATTTGAAAAAAGTTTTGGTTCGAAAGGTTCATCACCAGGAGAATTTGACTGTCCTCAAGGTATAGCAATACATAAAAACGGTAACATTATAGTCGTTGATTTCGGTAACAACAGATTACAAATATTTTAAAAGACTTCCTTTAAACTTATTTTACCTGTGGCTGTGCCTGTGACCAACCTTGTACCTTTTTATTAGTACCTGTTTTTTTTATTTATAAATATTTTAATATTAAATTTATTTATTAATAATTATACCTTAAAAAAATTTAAAAAAGGGGATTGGGGGGGGGAGAGGAATAAAAACACAATTTCATCTAAAAAATTTTTTTTATATATTTTAAGTACATCAAAATTATTAAATCACGTAATAATAATAATAATAATTAATTTACACCTCGTTATAAATTTTATATAAAAAAAAAAATTATACAAAAAAAAATTTCTATAAATTGTTTATAAATATTATTATTATTATTAATACGAATAAAAATTAAATATAAATGATGATTACGCCAATAATAATATTATAATAAATGCGTGCGTTTGTGTGTGTGTGTGTGCGTGTGCGAGCACCGTTTTCGAACACCTTTTTTTTTATTTTTATTTTATTTTATCATTATTACAAATAGTAAATATTTAAAAAATAATATTGATAATAATAATAATAATAACTTAGGATAATAAAATAATTAAAAAAATATAAGAAAAAATTGTAGAAAAATGAAAAAAATAAAATAATAATAATAATAATAATTAGAGTTAAAAATTAACAACATTAACACAGTCTTGTTTTTTTTTTTGTATGTAAAAGAAATACATATAAATACATAACTATAATAATAATAATAGTAATAAAATACAAGTAAATAGTAGCGTTTAAATGAGAGTTACAATATAGCGCTAAAAAAAAAATAAAATTTAATTTTTAAGAATTTTCCGTAGAAAAAAAAAAAATTTTTTTTTTAAATTCGTTGCCATGTTTCCCCCCCTCTTTTATTCATTAAACGACAGCAAAAAATTCATCATATAAAATTTGAGCAAAAAATTTTTTTTTTAAATTTATTACAAAAAAAAAAAAAAATTACAAAATTTATGGAAGATTTTATTTATTTATTTATTTATTATCATTCATTTTTGTAAAAAATCGAATCGAAATAATTTTTTTTTATTATGTTGGCTACACTTGTTCATCAAAAATTAATTAAAAAAATGTCTTTTGAAATACTTTAAAAAAAAAAAAAAAAAAAAATTTATTTTTTGATATGATCTACACATAACGACGTTTTACATATTCTACCTATAATAATAATAATGAATAGAGAGACAAAGAGAGAGAGAGAGAGAGAAATTTTTTAACGTTATATATCGTGATAATAATGATAATAATAATAATGTATATAAATATATTATAATGTTAATATTAAATAAGATTCGAATAGATTATTATTGAGTTTTTTTTTGTTTTTTGTTTTCTTTTATACCGTCAATTAAAGTCGACCATTTTTTATTATTATTATTATTAAATGGAAGACTGGAATTGTGACGTAAAAGACTTATCATTTTTATTATTATTATTATTAATAATAGGAAATTTAATAAATAAATAAAATAATAATAATAATAATTTTTTTAATATTCCCATTTGGTTGCGTTTTCGTATTCTCCATCGCCCAGTCGGAATCCGCCATTTTTATTTGCTACTAAATATTCTCCACGAACTGATTTTATGCAAATCCTCGTGGGTTCCCGTAATTCCAAATAAAAACCCTCTGGAACATCCGAATCCACGGCAACGCATTCGCTATCCCCGTGCCAATATTTATCGTTTTGACCCTTGAAATAAATAATAATAATGAGTTTTTGTTGTTTAACATGATTCCGGTTTTTTTTTAAATATTTTCAAAAAAAAAAAAAAAAACTCGTTTCCGGTTAAACGAGTAGAGGCATACCTTAAAATAAACGACGCCTTTTTCTCCTCTTTCAACTCGAATCGTTTCGTACGTGGCTTTGTTGCATTCAAGTTTGGTAGACGAAGAACTTTTGTAACCGACGAATCCCTGTTCGCATTTCAATACCAAAATGGGCCTGAAAAAAATTTTAACAAAAAATTATTATTATTATCATCATTTCCGAGAGTGGGGAAGAAGAAGAAGGGGGAAAAAGAGAAAGAGAGAGAGAGGGAAAACCATTTCACGTTCTTCCTTCGGGAACTCATACACGAATCTCATCGATAAAACTTTTTTCCGGATGCGTTGACTCTGTTTAACTGCTTTTCTTTTTTATTCAGATCCGGTTTCGTGACGACCTCAAGTCAAATTTCGTGGTTCCACGATAATTTTCTCTATTACCACGTCAAACGTAACGTATTCAATAAGTGTAAATATTTACAAATTTATATTCCGCCATTATCTTTTTTTCTTTTTTTTTTCCAATATAAAACCCAACCGGATATTAAACAAATCAATCGTTTCCGATTATGATTTATCGATCGTCTAATTCCACTTTTTTCGGTAAATTATTACGATGAAGCCAAGATGAAAAATTTCTGTTTCGATTTTCTCTCTCTCTCTGAAAACTATTACGTCGTTTTTTTTTTTTCTTTCGACATTTTTCCTTCCTTTCATTTTTGTTTTTGTCCTTCGGCTGACTTTTTATCTTTTCATTTTTTCCACACTTTTCTTTTCCATCGAATTTAGCTTCTCGTTACTTTTTAAAACGTGACATTTTCCCGCCTTTTTCGACGAGTTTTTATTCCAACTGGAAAATGTGTTGATTAATGTCGTTGACCATCCTCTTTCTCGGTTTTTCTTTTCCTTTCCTTTCTTTTGTTTTTTGTTTGTCAAAGGAATGTTTGCTTCGATATGTACACCGTTCATCGTTCTAGAATTATCCATCCTACTTTTTTTCTCCTTTTCCGACATCACCTGGTTATAAACCTTAACGGTTGCGACAATTTACACGTTCTCTCACTTGGTAAATATTTGTTATTTCTAATTAGAAAAATATGGACGAGGAAAAATTTTTTTTTTCTGCCTACTAAAAACTTGTTCAAATATTTTTTTTTTCTCACATGTTCTCCTCACCCCGAAAAAAAAACCGCTCGTCGATGCGGAAACAAGGATGGATGATGATGATGATGACGGCGACGATGGTGATGATGCACACATGACGTCGTGCAAATTATAAAATAATAATAATAATAATAATTTTTCGTCGACATAAACAGGTGAACAAAAAAAGAAGGGGAAAATTTTTTTTTTTTTTTTGATACCCGTCACGCAATTTTCTCTCTCTCTCTCTCTCTCTTTTTTTTTTGATGTGTTTTTAATTACCTGTTGATCAAATAGAAAAAATATTTGCACGAATCTTCGACGACGTCAGAATTAGCATATAAATGACCAGATCTTTTCGTGGCGACAAATTTCCCGTTGTTGGCACGGAAGCACAGAGACCCATCATTTTGCCAAACCAAATCGAACAAAGCATTTGAAGACCTGCAAAAGAAAAAAACGATTGCGTTATCATTATTATCGTCATCCCTTATTTTTTTTAAACAAAAGATTTTAAATCTCTTGTTCATTCTTACTTTTTGTCACCGCAAGCTTGTATTCCACCGCCTGTTTCCAAAGTCCAATAACGATCTTGCATCGTTCTCAGATACCATCTTTTTGTTGCACCATTAAATTCCAATTGAAACGTTTCGTGATCGGATATTTCATCTTGATTAGCAGTCACGTCAACTCCTGAAATCCATTTAAGAAATCATAGTCATAATAATGATAATAATGATAATGATATTTAAAAAGCAACCCATTGCAACCTCATCAGACTTCGTTTCATTTGTCGAGATAAGAATCATCGAAACATATCGTCCGATTTTAAATATAATAATAATAATAATAAATTTCGAAATGTCGAATGTACAGTCATCGAATCCTTACGCAGCATCCTCTCTAAAAATTTTTTAAAAATAAGAAAAACGCATTCGGGAGAGTTGAGAGAGAAAAAAATAGGAAAAAATCGATCGATTAGTCATTCTTCTACCACCTCTCGATATATAAAATTAAACAACGCACGAGGGGTGAATTTTATTTTTGGGGAAAAATAAAAATAAAAACAACCCTTAAAATAAAAACTCGCACAATTTTTTTACCCTTAACCCCGTCGCAGTCGTCGTCGTCGACGTCGACGATATGTTTTTCATTTCCTCTCTTATATCGACATATTGTTTCTCTCTCTCTCTCTCTCTCTCTCTGTCTCTCCCCGAACATAAGGCAAAGAAATAATATTTTTCCTCATCGTCGTCATTTTTTAATTTCCGCCAAATTTAAAAAGTGGAAAAACAACGTAATTTTTTCTTTTTTTTACTTTTTTTTTGGGCAGTGAATGTCGTCTGCTATCAAGTCACGACCTTCCTTCACTCATTCATCGAACCGAAACAAAAAGCAAATTACACACAAAAAAAAAAAAAAAAACAATCAATTGTGTTCTCGTCTCTCAAATTATACCATCATAATTATAGCAAAAACATGTTCGACAAGGTCAAATTTTCAAAAAAAAAAAAAAAAAACAAAACAAAAAAGCAAAACTGATTCCGATATTTTAAACACGTGTGTCTGTGTTTGTGTTTGTGTTTGTGCAACAAACATGGCGACAAAGTTGATTCACAGTTTTCGTCGTAAAAACAAAAAAAAAAAACAAAAAATTTAACCATTTGCAAAAATACGATTCGCCATCTTAAAATTTTATTTTCTTATCTGCGGAAACGGAAATACTCATCAACGAGTGACACCATAGAATAAAAAATAAAAATGGCGTCCGTATCATATTCCTTAATTCAATATCGAATATAATTTTTCTTCGAATTAAAAAAAAAAATTATTGATAGATCACGACAAAAATTAGTTTTATTACTTTCATAAATATAAAGAAAAAAATTATTATTATTATTATTATTATTATTATTTAATTGAAATTTCACGCAACAAAATTCTTTCTCTACTTTTCTCTCGCGAAAAAAAAAAAATAACAAGTTTAATTAATAAAATGTTTTTCCTCAATTTTTCCTTTTTTTTCCCCGTACAATACGAATCATTTCCGGATTAATATAAACGCATAAAAATACGAAATTGATTTTTTAATTGTCATTCATTCATTCATTCATTCAATCATTCACTTTTTTTTTTTTGTTAAACGTTTTCAATTATCTTCAGGTAACACACTTTCGATCACGATCGAATCACGATTCCTTTTTTTTTAATAATATTATTATTCGGACAAGAGGGTAAAGTTCAAAAACTTGTTAAGTATTATTCGTTCGTTCGTTCGTATGACCTATGAACTCTTTCCTTAATCGAAAATTAGAAAAATGTCGAAAACAGGTTTTTTTTTTTTTCGAAAGATATAATACGAGTTTTTTTTTTTTTTTCAAATCGAATTCCAGTTAACGTAGTAAAATTAAATTAAATTAAATTCGACGTGTAAACGTTGGTAAATTTTTTTTTTTTTTTTTGCACAAAAAATTAAAAATCGTCACGTTTTTCTAAAACCAAACGATTATCGAGTACGAAATACGATTATCGATAAAACCAGTCGAATAAGTCATCGAGAATGAGAGAGAAATAATAAAAATAATAATAGTAATAATAATAATAATGTTAACGATAATTGAAATAAACGGAAAAACAATTTGAATTCCAAAACCGTTAGAATTTTTTTTTTTGATGTTTTTCTACAACCACGTAGCACGTAATTTTTCCACTTTTTTTTTTAATAGAAACTTACTAGAAAATAATAATAATAATAATAACTTATTTTTTTACGCATAACGCACGTTTTCATCCTTCGTTTTTTTTTTCGACTGGAAAAAAATTTTTTTCCTTATTTTCCCATCTCGATTGGAAAACTTTTCGAATTTTCCCCCGAAATTTATTTCACCCAAGAGAGTGGGGGGTGAGGGGGGGAAAAAAGGAAAAAACTTTCGATTTTATAACCATCGCGATCGATATTGCGATCGATACGAAATCGAATCATTATCGGAAAATTTTAATTATATTAATAACTCGTCAAATTTTTTAACTTGTTCTTTCACCGTCGTTTAACCAGAGTCTATTTTTTTGGGGGGGAGTCTTGATAAATAATAAAGCGTCTCAACATCTTAATGATAATAATAATAAGTTAGTTTTAATTGTAGTGTGCGTTGATCTCGTTTGTCTGCTGTCCAAAGACGGTTCAAACGTCAATCCCGTTAATTATTACAATATGTCACGTCTTGTAAGTATAAAAAAAAAATAAAATAAAGATGGAAGATGAGATTAAATAAAATATTTCTCGTAATGGTTCTAAATAAAAGGCTTCATCGATTCACGTGCACGCACCCCCCCCCCACACACACACGCACGAATTTTGTAAATTTCGGTTCTTTTTCTTATTATTACGCCGCGTAAAAAACTCCGACAAAGGAAGAAAACGTTAGGAAGCAATAAAAAAAAAAATTTTTTTTTTTTTTCAAAGTTGGTATACATTTTTTTTTTTTCGAAAAACCCATCTCTAGACGACGAAAGCAATAAAACAAAAAAGCAGAAGAAACAGATGATAAATTCGGAGGAGACGAAAAACCGAAGGAAAAGTCACAAATCGTCGCCGCAGACAAATTAATTTGTTTGATTCGACACAATCAGACGAATGAAATTGAAGGGTCGGACCGACCTTTGACCTTTTAATATGATAAATAAAATCTATTTAAATTTTTCAAACAATTCTCCGGATAATGAATTAATTGTTCTATGAAAAAAAAACAAAAAACAAAATGTCAAACGAAAAACCGGATAAATAAATAAATAAACTTTTATTTTTTTATTTTGTCACACAAACAGGGGAATCCCCCCCCCCAAATCATTTTCCTTTTTTTTCGTTATCATTATCATTATTATTATTATCTTTTCCGTTCGAAACAAAAACAAAACGCCGATAAAAACAAAATAATGATGATGATGATGATATTTTCATAATGACGAATAATCATAGAAGGATATTATTAGTTATTGATAATGATATTAAATTCACTTTATAAGTGCTCCTCGTTTTATCAAAATCCCCCTTTTCGAAATTTCCTTTCCAATATTAATTCAATCACTATTTAATGATGATTTCGAAAAAAAAAAAAACGATTCAATCCAATCGAAATAAAGAGTTTAAAAAAAAAAAAAAAAATGGAATCGTTTACCAAAACCTTCCGACAAATAAATGGATAGTAAATGAATGGAGAGGGAGAGGGAGGGAGAGGAGACCAGCATTACAATACCTAAAAATCTTCAAGCATGTACCCAAAATTAACAAACACGTGATTACGTCACATCGTCGACGTAATCATTCAACTTTTTTTTTTTTTGCGTTCAATTATTGCCCTATTTGTCATAAAAAAAAGAAAAAGAAAGGAAAGGATATACGACTCGAATGATTTTTAATGAGGAGGAAGAAGAAGAAGGAAGAAAAAAACGGGAACCATTAAAGGGAGAAAAATTATTTTCGTACCACTTATAAATAATGAACCCCCCCCCCGTATGTATATATATATATATAAATTTCTACCCTTTTCCTTTTCGTGTTTATAAAAGGTTTTCATTAAAAGTGATTTTTAACATCCTTCTTTTACCTCACCCACATCCCGCGCACGCGCAAAGGGTGAAGCACAAACGCCATTAAATAAATTGAACAGAGGGATGAGGGGATGAAAAATCCCTTAAAATACGATATATTACTAGAGGTATGAGAATAATTGTTTTGTTTTTTTTTAAAGGCTAAAAATAGCAAAAATATTCATTTTGAGATCACCGTGAAGTAGGATGGATGAGACGATTTAAGATGAGACGACGAATTCAACGACTAAAAAAAGCAGACGACGTTTCGTCGCGACGAAAAAAAATTATTATTATTATTATGAAGATTTAACGTCTTCGTAATTGATTAATTTATTACGCGGATGATACGCGGAAAAATTAAATTGGAGAAAATTAAAAAAAGAAACTTTCGAATATTTATTATCATTATTATTATTGTTATCATTATTATTATTATTATCATTATTATTTAATGGTTTCTTCATAGCCTAATCGAACCGCATCGTGGTGACCCTCGAGGAGAATTTAAAAAAAAAAAAAAAAGTTAAAAGAAAAAAATCGATGATGACGTTAATCCTTGTTATTTAAAAAAAAAAAAAAAAACCTGATTGACTGACTGACTGACTGACTGACTACGTCACGGTAAAATGAATTTTTTTTAACGTAAAATTTTAAGGTCCTGAGTCAGAGGTTGAACGAACATTTATAACGAACAACATTAATTTGACATAAACAGGTTTCGTGCCTGAAAAGTAAATCACAAAACTCACGATTTATTTATTTATTATTATTATTATTAAGACCACGATGATTTTTTTTCTTTTTATAACCAAATAATAATAATAATGATTTATTTTTTCCTCCCCCTCCCTCTCGTTTCCCGTTTGATAAAAAAAAAATTTTATTTTCATTGTGATATTTTTTTCCATTGCAATAAATAAAACTTTTCTTCGTGGGGAGCGGGGCGGGGGGGGTTTCGTCATTGTACTTGTTTGTAGCAAAAACAAAAAAAACAAAAACAAACAACAAAAACAACAACGACAAAAAAAAAGAAATAAAACTTGTTCAAAGAGTTTTTTTTTTTCTTTTATACTTTTTTCAATGTAAAACAATTTAAACAAGCAAACAAACGAACAAACAAACAAACAAAAACAACATTTGCAAAAACAATTTTTTTTCCTATCCCTCCCTGTCTCCCCTTCCCCCCAGCATTGTAGATATGATTTATTGCTTTTTTTTTTGTTGAATTTGCATTGTTTGTATAATTTCTCTTTTTGATATCTGAATTTTTTTTTTTTTTTATTTTATTTTCTCCGGAAGTTTTCAAAATAAAAATTATTAATTAATCCAGCTTCATCATCATCATCATCATTATAAAAAATAAAGCCAAACAACAACAACAACAACAACAACAACAATAATAATAATAATAATAATAATAATAATAATAAAACAATAAAACGTTGAAGGAAATTTGAAAAATTTTTTTTTTTTTAATCACTTTCATTCAGAGTGCAATAAACTTTATTATCATTATTATTTTTTGATTCTCCAAAATTTTTTACTGGAAATTTTTTTAAAACTTTATAACTTTCCAAAACAAACAAAAAAAATTTTTTTTTTTTTTTTTTCCGTTACACGGTTAAAATGATTTAACGACTTTTTAACTTCCGATAAAAATTCAATCATCGATATAAAAATTTTCCTTTTCGTTTCCTCGAATGCCCCAAAGAAGGTAAGAAGGAAAAAAATTTAAGCGAAAGGACAAAATGGATAGGAGAGGAAGGGGGAGGGAAAAAAAGGGGAAAGGAAAAAAAAGAAAATTTTTTGTCAATCGAACCGAGGCGAACGAGGAAGGAAACAATCGAAATCAATTCGATTAATTAGAAATTTTTAATATAAAAAGAAATCAATCAATCAATCAATTCATTATCAATTGCGCATAAGGATTGAGCGTCAGCAAAATTTTTGCTACAAATCAACTTAAATAACGTTTTGCGTTTTTTTTTTTTTTTATCTTGGAACAACACCAAATGGATTTTAAAAAAATCGTTCAATGCGTTTTACATCACGTTTTTTAACATTTTTTTTTTCTTTTTTCCAGGGAATGAAATGCAAAAACGTTTCATTTATCATCGATCCGTGAGAATTATTATTTATGTTTTACATCCTGTTCGATTTTTTTTTTTTTCGATGTATCGAATGAACTTTTCAAAAAAGAAAAAAAAAGAAAAACTTTTTTTTTTTTTTAACCTTGACTTTTTCCCCCAAATTTTCCTTTTTTTCTCTCTCTTTCTCTCTCCCCAGAGTAGAGTATAATCAATCATAGATAGTAAAATTTCATGGAGTTACACGCTCATTATTATTATTATCACATATTTCATCCTCTCGAAACAAACGAACGAGACTTCGCCGGAAGGTTGTTTCTACCTTTTTCTACTACCACGACTCCCCTATCAATTTTTTTTTCTTTATTCCTTTACTTGGCCATTTTCTACTATTACTTCTTGCTCTAAATTTTTACCCCCATCGAATAAAAGTTGGGGAGTAGGGAGAGAAAAAAACCTCGACTGATTGTTTCGTGACCTTTATCAAAAACCGTTGCCTTAACCGAATTCGAATTATAATTTCAATGCGGAAATAAATAAAAACCAACGATTATTATTATTATTATTTTCATGGAAATGCATCAACAAACAACAAACCGATTACAAAAAAAAACAACAACAAAATATTACGCAACGTCAAATTCTTCTCGTAAAATCCAATTGTAGTAAACAAAGTGGCAGAAGAATACAAAAAAAAAAAAAAAAAATGGAACGACGGTTAAAACAAAAATAAATATTAATTTAAATAAATTGATTTGAACGAATTTGAAGAATTCCCCCCCCCTTGTCCCCGCTCCCCTTAATAAATTTATATAAAATCCCGAATAAGAATTCCGATGTCATCATTTTTCTTCTGCTTTCATTAAATTTGCTTAAAAACGTGACGTGACGTGACGCTTGCCGTCGAAACGTAATCGAAATAATTTATTATTATTATCACCATCATCGTCGTCACCATTTAAATCGCGCGTGACTTAAGTGTACGACACTCAACACATATATCCGTAAATGTTTTCATAAGATAATTATTTTTTTCCTATTAATTTCACCCTCTTCGTCTCTTCCCTTCCTTCCTTCCTTTTTCTTTTCCTTTTCTCCATAAAAGGTTTTTGAATTTTTTTCGCCTTATCCTCCATTTTATCTTTTTATTAGAGTCGTTAAAACGCTTAATTAAAAAAAAAATAAAAATCCGTTCCTTTCGTAAAGGTAACGTCTTAATAAAATTTATTAACATAGAGTAAATAAACGTGGACAACGGTTTTGAAACTCCGCTAATAATTTACTCCGCGTGGAAAAGTGCGTCGCCGTCCGTTTCATTTTTCTTCCACGTCGTCGTGGCAATAAAATTTCATCATTTCAACGGACAATGAACACGAAATGAATATAAAAATGGGGGTAAATGCTAAAAAAAACTCTTTCAAAAAAAATTTGAGAGGAAGGGAGGAAACGTTTTGGGATTTGAACTTAAAATTTCACACAAACCATGAGAATTTTCTCGTACTTGTACCTTACAAAAAGAGAGAGAGAGAGAGAGAGAGAAAGAAACGATTCCTCTTTCGTAATAACTCGCCATTGTAAAATGGTTTGACGGTTTCCAATCTTTCCACAATTATTTTCAATTAAATATCCTGCATTTAATAATAATAATAATAATAATAAAATTTCGTTTTCATTTTCATTCTCCATGTTTGAAAGTGAACAAAACCGCAATTTAAAAAAAATAAAAACATTTATATTCAACGAACGCCTACAAACTTCCCGGCAAATACATTCGAAAGAGTTTTATTATTATTATTATTATACGTAACGGGTGAAAGAAACGTTTGAAAATTAAAATTAAAATTAAAAAAACACCACAGTAATTTTTTTTTAAAAACCGTACGTAAAGTAATTATAGTCATTACAAATCGAGATCTGTATTAAATCTAATGTTGATAGAGAGAGAGAGAGAGAGAGAGAGAGAGAGAGAGAGAGAGAGAGAAACATGGATTCGTATACCTTTATTTATTAATATTATTATTTATTACCTTTCGCTCCAAGGTTTGACTTTCGAAAATAATAATAATAATAATAATAATAATAATAATAATAAAGAGAGTAATTTTCACTTTTGTTTACCGCGGTAAATCATAATCGGACGAATAAATAAAAAATTGAGAGGCGGCCATTTTGATTTTAACGAACCTTTTTTTTTTTTACAGAGAAATTTCGAAATTTAAATGGATTGAAAATAAAAAAAAATAAAAAATGATACAAGACAAATAGTAAAAAAGAAAGAAAGAGAAAATAAAAAAATACACGGGAGAGAGAGAGAGAGAGAAGCAAGTTTTGTATGGATTCATTTTTTTTTTTTTTTTTTTTTTTAAATTGTCACGGAGTCAAATAATATATATCCTTTTTATCCATATACTTATTCATTAGTCATACATTTCCTGGCTTACAAAAAAAAACAACAAGAAAAAATCTTCTAGAAAAATATGACGTCATACACAAAACAACACCCTTTGAGAAATCGCAACCCGTTTTCTCTCTCTCTCTTTCTCTCTCTCTCTGAACATCGCAATAAATAAAACGTTATGATGTCAATACTATCGAATATGAAAATTGTCGTCGTCGTCGTCACTCGGAACAAACGAACCCGTTTGTTGTAATAATGAACAAACAACGTTTTTTTACGGATTCAACGTGTCGTGCAAAACGTCATTTTATCATTATCATTATTATTATTATTATTTTTACAATTAATTCACACGTTTAAATTAGTACGATAAGAACAGTTTTCTCTTTCTTTCTCCTTTCCCCCCCCCCAACTTATTCCAACGTTTTCTTTCGTCTTCATCTTTGACTGTGTAATATACAAAAGACGAGAGACAAACGACTCTTTCGTCGTCATGTCCCATCTCTCTCTCTCTCTCTCTCTCCCTATTTTAAAATAAAATAAAAAAATCTCGTCATTCATTAAATCGGATTCTTAATAATAAAAAAAAAAAATGTCTGTCATTGATTTCGGCTTTTAAATACTTTTTTTTTTTTATTTACTAAATATTTACGAGTTCGAGACTTTGATTTTCAAGATTAAAAAAGAGAGAGAGAGAGAGGGGGGTGGGATATCAGAAAAAAAAAATTTTCACGAACAAATCAACAAACACGAACGACATGAAAATTTTTTTTTTTTTGTTTTTTCCACGACAAAAGTAGTTTCGTACACAAACAATATGACATAATAATTGAAACGAAACAAAGAGAGAAACAACGATTGTGTCTCAAATAAAAAATACAAAACATTTTGGTTGTTGTTGTTGTTGTTTTTTGCACGAAAAAAAAAAAAAAACAAACGATCACGACCGTGACGAATCACATTTCGGAGAAAAACAATTAGAAAAAAAAAAAAAAAACAAAAAATTCTCGAAATTTCCATTCACGAAAAATGAAACCTTTTCCCTTGAGATTAAACGCACCCACGCGTTCATTTATCCAGGCTTACTCACGAATAGAACAAAATCAATTTAAACCCAATACAATAATAATAATAATAATAGTAGAAAAATATCGAGCATTATCTCTCTCTCGCACTTACTACAAATGTTATCCACGAGATTAATGTATTCCCCCCCCCCATTTGTTAATATTAATGACACGAAAAACAAATTAAATATTATTATTATTATTATTATTATTATTATTATTATTATTATTATTATTATTATTATTAGTTTAAAATCTCTTACCTTGCTTAACTGATACATATCTCGAATTCAATGCGGCAACAAAACTTGCTTGAGGGAGCGAATCTTCAAGAGAAAACAATTCATCTTTTGTGACAGTTTGTGAACGAGTTTTAAGGACGGCTTTTGACCCTATGGGTGATAGATACGCCCCGCATCGATCCCTACAAAACAAAAAAAAAAAATAATAATAATAATGATAATCACTTTTAAAACGACTCAATTAATTTTTTATGTAATCGAAAACGAAAAAAAATATGTAAGTACTCGTATATAGGTCTTAAACAACAACCTTCGGGTGTAAAAAAAAATTTAATCAATTTAAAATTATTTTCCGAGTAATAAATTTAAAAAAAAAAAATAATAATAATAATAATTAATAACCGTCTTTCATTTTTTCAAACCGTTATTTTAATATATATTCAAATTTTTTAAAAATATAATAATAATAACTACAACGATGATGAGACTTTTGTTTTGTTTTTCAATTTAAAACCCGTAACTGGTAAAAAATTATTTTTATCATTATCATTTTTTTGTTTTGTTTTATCGACCAAACCTCAAACCTAATTTTCCATAATAATAATAATAATAATAATAATAAAAGAAAGTGTTATAATTGCCTAAAAGAACAAACTTTTGTTTTTTGTTTTTGTTTTTGTTTTCCCCCCCTCGATTGACTTAAATAGAATTTTTACGATTGAAACGATACCGGATGTGACGTAAATTATTTATTATTATTATGAGAATCGTCAATACCGAGACAATAAATAATAATTTTCACTTTTTCTTTTTTTTTACGCAACAGGGATTAAATATTGAAAAAAGGTAAAAATTTTACCTCAGAGCCAAAGATCCCTGATGATATTCGGCGGAAAATAAGCAATTGACGTTGCATTCGTCAACGAGTTTTCCCTCCCTCGACAAATATTTATTGTTGCAAGTGTGAAGAGCGTATTTTCCGCCGTCGTCCAATCGGAATTCCAACGTGAACAAAGTATCTTCTCCCCAGGGAATGTTTGCGTCAACGTGGATTTCTTCCAAATTTTCCGACAAGTGAGCGAACCTTTTACGTCCGATGGATCTCAAATTGACTTGTGGACGTGCCGCGAGGTGAACCATCCAAAATTCCGTATCTCCGGGACTTTTGGCCGTGCACATCAACTTATCGGAACTCGCTCCGAGGAAATAACCTCTCACGACGTTCCGGAAAGCCCAACGTCCGGACCCGTCATCCGCGACGGATATTTGAAATTTAGAACTCTGATCTTTTTCTTCGGATTCGCAAGTCACGTTTCCGAACGAATCCACCGCGAGATATTTATCCAAATGACTCCTCAAATAAATGGTACTGTCTTCGCCGCTTGGTTCCAACGACCATATTTGTTTCTTCTTCAAACTCGTACCGTTGGCGTTTATTTTAAATCCGAACGTTTCCGCTGTCAAATACCGGAATTTTGAATTTATAAGACCGATCGTCCAGCATCCCTTTTGTTGATTTTGACTTATTATGTCTCCGCCTCCGTTTTGATCGTAATGACCGTTTAATCCGTTAACGCCGTTCATTTTTTTTCAAATTTTTTATTCTTTATATAACGACCTAAAAAGAAAGAAAATAAAAAATAAAATTTTTAAAAACTACTACTACTACTACTACTACGCCATTGAGTCATTTCAAATTATTTTCTACTCTTCGTAGAACAGGAAGAACTAAAAAAAAAATATATCCTTATAATCGCCATTAACAACCGCCATTATGAGTTTTATAATTGACACATTGCATGTGTCAATTGTAATTATAATTGAATGTTTCGATTTAATTTAACGGAACGTGGACAACATTAAATAAAAATTTTTTTTCACAAATTTATTATTTAATGTCTTAAACAATTATTAAAAAAAAAAAAAACCGGAAAATTTACGATCGATTAAAGTTTTTCTCGAAAATAAAATAACAAAAAAAAAATTTTTTTTTTTTTTTTTTTTTTCATTTTACGTTTGTTTAAACTTTTAAACAAACATCTGATGATTCGATTCAATTAAAAATTTTCTCACAACTTTAGAAAAAAAAAAATTAATATTTGAATTAAAAATATAATTATCTTATTTTAAAACTACAAAAAACAAATTTTTTTATTTTCATTTGTTTTTATCACACTCACAAAACCATTTTGTGGTAAAAGGGTTAAAACTTTCATGTTAAAATTCATTTATTATCACGACGCATTTTATGACTTCTCTCTCTATCTCTATCTCTCTTTCTCTCTCTTTCTATCTCTGTCAATGTCGACATTTTAAATTCCAAAAAAAATTAAATTTTAACCGAAAAGATGATGCGACACTCGGAAATGTTAGTCATCGACACTCTTAAAATTATTTTCATAATAAAAAAAAAAAAAAAAAAAAAACGAAAAATTTCAACTCCTTTCCTTCAAAAGAAATCATCAGGATCGGGGGAGGAGAAGGAGGGAGGGGAAATAAAAATTTTCCCAATTAGTCACCGACGAATCAAAGATTTTTCCAATTTCGGAAAAAAAAAAAAATAAAGAATAAATTTTTTCTTTTTTTTTTTTTATAATGCAAGTGTTGTGTGTGTATGTGTGTAAATAACAATTCAATAATAATAATAATAATAATAATAATAATAATAATAATAATAATAATAAACCTTAATCATTAATATTCATTCGGTTTATTCTATAAGGTAGTTTTCCATGCCAAGTCATGCACACGACAAACATTACCAACGATTCTCCTCACATACTTAATCGAAACAAAACAATACAAAAAACCATTCGAACGACGTTCAATTAAACAAAATAATAATAATAATAATAATAATAATAATAATGATAAAAATAATAATAGATAATAAATTTATAATCATTCGACGACAATCTCACGACAAAATCTTTTTAAAAAATTTCATTATTTTTTTCCCATTCGGGACATCGGAACGGTGACCGGGAAAATTATTTAAAAAAAAAAAAAAAAAAAAATCGATGACGTACACATGACCGTTACAAAAAAAAAAAAAAACTGATTAAAGTAATAAAATTTACGGCACACAATAACATTAAACATTATTATTATTATTACTACTGTTATTATTGGTATTATTACGATGTCAATAAAAAAAAAAAAAAAAAACTAGCATGCAACGTTATGAAAAAAGGAAAACATGATTTTTCTTTTTTTTTTTTTTTTTGATAAATTATATTTTGAATCCGTACTAAAAAAAAAAAAAATAATAATAATAATGGCGGTGAAATTTAATTGCTACCGAATAATAATAACTTTGTTTGAACCCCCCTTCGCCCTGCCCCTCTAACTTCGAAAAAATAATTTAATTGCTCGAAATACAACCGATTAATTTCATTTTAACCGTTATGTAAATGATAATGATGATAACAACACGATAATAATTAAAAAGGAGAAAAAAAAAAATTTTCTCTAAAGAGAACTAGAGTCGTGTTGGATTGGACGAACGGTCCACATTTTCAAAAAAAAATTTCCTTCATTTTCGAGGTATCAAAGATTACATGTAGAAGATGACGTCAATGAAATCGGTGATGATGATAATAATAATAATAACACCAGCATTTGAAAAAAAAAAAAAAAAATTTTTTTTGTTTAAATATTACTTAAAAAAGATGAGCAGCTTCCGACATTTTCCATTCGTTTCATCTCACACGCAAATTAAATTCCATTTAAGTTTTTTATTTTTTTAAAACAGCTTCACCGACTCAAACCGGATAAAACGATGGCGTTAATCGGACAAACGGTTGTTATTAATTTTTAACCCAAGAAATTTCCGGAAAAGTTAATAATTTACAGCCGAAAAAAAAAAAAAAATTCAAAATGGACGCAAATCATCGACCATCATCATATTGAATCCATATCTCATAACGTTTCACGACGAAATCGTATTTTATTTATTTATTTATTTTTTTTTTTTTTTTTCACTTTTATTATTTATTTATAATAATAAATTTATTTTTTTTTTACACTTTTTTGCTTTTTTTTTTTTTTATACGCCGGTTGCTAACGAACATACGAAAGTAATTAAAAAAAAGAAAAAAAAAAAAACGAGAAATAAGGTGAACGTGCTTGTTTTGAATTTCTTGTGCAGTCAGACGCATACGAAAAGTTTTTTTTGTTTTTCCAGTCTGTCTAGCGATACCTGAAAAATTCTGCGGAAAAACAATTAAACTTTAAAAAAAAAAAAAAAAATTGTAATCTTTTGTTGAGACCATTAAAGGGAGAAAGAAAGAAAGAGAGAGAGAGACGGGAAACGAACCAACAACAACAATATTAAATTTTCCCCTCCCTCTCCCCCTCCCCTCCATTAACAAAATGTTTACAACACATAATGTTTTTCCTAATTTTTTTTTTTTTTTTTTTTTTTGTTATAAAAGTAAAAACAAGAGAAATTTTCATCGGTTGAAAATTTATTTAAAAAATCCTTCCAAATTTAAATAATAATAACTAAAAATTAATTTTTTTCATTTCTCCTTTTGTTTTTTTTTTTTAGATTGTTCGGTAACGTAAAAGTAACAACAAACAACAAACAACAACAAATGACTACTAATATAATTTTTTTTGGTTAATCAAAACCCAAATATTTATTTATTTCATTAATGTTTAAACTTCTTTCGACAACTTTTGTTTAAGCCCGAAAAAAAAATAAATAAATAAATAAAAATCAAACGTTCCCGGTAGGTGATTAATTAATCATCAGGAAGAGAGGGAAAGGGAAGGGGGAAACGGGAATAATCCGGGACACAAGAAGAGGGAAAACAAAATTTTGATCATTGTGACGTAATTAAATATTGTTTTCTGTTTTCAATTTCGCAAAACTTTTGTTAAAATTTATTTATTTATTTATTTATTTTTATTTCTTATTAATTTTCAATCCGAATTTTTAAAAAATTTGAAATTTAATAACATATGATAATTAATTAATAAAAAACTATTAATCATAATAAATTTTTTTTTTTTAAACGAAATAAAATAAAAATAAATTATTTAAAAATCGTTATGGTGCGTCGGTCATACGCGAAAAAAAAAAAAAAAATTAGTTTTTATTTTTTTTATTTTTTTTGCGGTTTAATAATTTTTTCTTTTTTTTCTTTCTTTTATATTTTGCGGTTCCTTAAATCTATTAAAAATTAAAATTTAATTTTTTTAAAATAATTATTTACCGTGTAATTAACGAAACATAAAAATAAAAAACGTGAAACGTGGCAGGAGACTCAATGATTCTACCGAATCATCAATTTTTTCCATTTTTTTTTTTTTTTTTGCTTTTCACGTTTTACTTAATTTTTTTGTTTTTTAAACATTTCCACTATCCTTATTTGTTATTATACATAAATAAATAAATAAATAAATAAATAATTTTTTTGTTCAACAACTTGCAAACACGTATTTTTTTTTTTTTTTTAAATAAAATAATTAGGATCGATGAACAAGAGGTCATTTTTACCGGTCGAAAAAAAATATTTTCACGGTAACTTTTCTGTTTTTTTCGAATTCGTTCGATTAACTTTTCGAAACCGTTTTAATAATTTCTATTTTGATTTTCTAAAACCCACTAAAGCATTCGAAAATAAATTACGTGTACAAAAAGGAAAAAGGAAAAACAAAAGAAGGAGCTTTTGACCTTTACTTTTTCTTTTTTCTCACTTCCTTTAATATCAAAATGGAGGACTTTGCAGCAATTTCTTTATCGAAATATAAGAAAATCGTAAAAGACAAAGAAACTCATCGAGATGCGTTGAAAACAATAGAAAACCTTAAAACCTCTTTTTTTTCTTTTTTAAAACTCCATTGAGTTAAAAATTAATGACGTCATCCCCCCTCCTTTATAACATAATTAAATATCCGGTACAATTTTTTTTTTTTTTTTTATAGCGAAAACAAATTAACATAAATAAATACTAATAATAATTTCAAAATGGCAATAATATTAATAATAATAATAATAACAAACAAGAGTCGACATAAAAAAAATTTTTTTTACCATAAATTACGTCGATACCGTAAAAAACCGTTTTTTGGTAATAAAAATAAAAATAAAAAAAAAACTTGACCATAACGATACAGTTTTAATTTTTTTTTTTTTTTTTTTTTTGGAATTTTAAAACAAATAAATAATTTATTTTTATGGATATAAAAAAAAAAATTTTCTTAACGTGTAAATTCATTAATCCAGTGACCTCAAAATTCTCTTTTTCACTTTAGGCTCTCCCTCTGTCTCTCTCTCTCTCTCTTTTACCACTTCCTTATATTATACACCAATTTTACAATGATGTGTTATTTTATTTCAACTTGGAAAAAAATAAAAAAAAATAGTAATAATAATAACAATAAAAGAAATATGAGTGTGCGTGCGTGCGTGCTAAATACGCGTTAAAATCCGATGCGCAAACACCGAATTTTTCAAATAATAATAATAATAATAATAACGAAACCAAAGAATTAAATAATAATAAAAAAATAATAATTACTCGTATGAAAAACCGTCGTACAAACAAAACGACTACAAAATACCAACAAAAAAA